CATTTTGAGACAATCAGCATTGGCTGATGCCTGTGTTCGTAAGGCCAATTAATAAAAATGTCTGCAGACACATTCTGTCAGAGTGGCTGCTGTGGGACGGTGTTAGCGCTCCTTCTTTTGAGTTTTGGGAAGGTGGTGAAAACGTAAGCTTGGAGCCCAGGACTATAACTCCGATGTTCCTACTGCATCCTCAGTCATCATCGTCTTTTTTGAAATGTTAACAAGTTTCTCCCATCCTAAATAACAGCAGATGTAATCTAAAACTGTTTCTGGCTAGCATTGTCTATGTATATTATGGTATAATAATGCAAATACCAGTCATGTTATGAAGTCTGCAGCATAAACCAATGTATTTTCCTGTTTCATGAATGAATAAAATCCATCTAAAAACAACATATTACTGGCTAAGATAACCATGTATATTAGATTGTAATGTGCATGGAATAATGGAATTATAGAGTTTTCTTTGTTTTGATATCGGCCATTGGTTGCCATGCTCTCTAGATATCTGCATTGGCCATTGAAAAACCTGTATCAGCCACTTGTTTGTAGAGCTGTAACGATAAGGTATTACTTTAATTCATTTAACAAATATTTCTAAATAAATGCCAAAACATTCATCTTTTCAAATGTGAATTTTTACTGATTTTCTGTTATGTCTAATATGTTGGAAAAGTGAATATCATTTCGTTTTCGAGCCTTTTTTTTCAGTATTTGCTGGCACAAAATGAATCAAACGTGTGACTGCTGCTACTGTATGATCCTGGTTTACAGAAGTGAAGTGGCGAGCTAGCGTAACTGTCCTGCTAAAAAACCCTAAGAAGTCCCTGTTTACCTCAAATGCAGTTAGCAGAATGAGCATTTCACGTTGGCCTCGTTTCCCCAGCTGCGACTGGCTTTACACTCTGCTCCTCTCTTGTGATGCATAGATTGAGACTGGTGTAGATAGAGGACGTGACTTGATGACATGTCTCTACCTACAGCTGTTTTTTCCCCCTTATGTTTGTAGCTCTGTGATTCACCAGGCATTCATCGTATCATCTGACATGCCTCAAAACTGATATCGCCGAGAGACGAGACGAGTGCAGTGTGCAGTGTGATGTGCGATGAACTTGGTTCAGGGTTCAAGTTTGTTTATTGTCATTTCCACTTACAGAGTATACAGGAGCAAAATATTGTTTCTCTGGGCCCAAGGTGTTAATATAAGATACAAAAAATACTCAAAAATACACAAAAATACAACAATAAAATACAGATATTCAGATGTTTGTCATTTTTAGGCTTTTTTATTCGTGCATTCTTATATTCCTCAAAGTAATTGAAAAAAGTCAGACATCATTTCACAGTCTCAGGCTCGATCTTTTGTTTGTGAGAGCACCCCACCAAGATGTCGTAGCTGCACTGAAACTTCCCTGAATCACATTTTGAAAGTCGACTCCTGACTGTGACAAACACCTTCCAGGTTTCGATGTCTCCGGTCGCGGCGGCGAGGACCAGGAGAGATGGGGAGGGAGGAGGCTACTGCAGGAAATGGACAACAGCAGCCTGGAGGAGATGGAGAGCGAGGAATCTAAGAACTGCACTGCTCCAGGTAAGATGGAAGCGGGATGAAAGAAAGAGGACACCCAAACGTTCTCCCCCTCCCTCCCTCATTCCCTCCCTCCAGAACAGAGAGAGGGGGACGGGGGAAACAAATGATCACCCCACATGTTCTGTCTTTCACCCCACATGCTCTGTCTTTCTACCCTCTCTGGTCCCCCTGCTTTCGCTTCCTGATGTGGGGTAACCCAGATTGTGAGGTCAGATGATTTCCCATGAGCACAGGCTACAGCAGGCGGTGACATTCTGCCTGCCTCAGCGTTTTTTTACTCCTGTTCTCCGTCACATTTTTTTTTTTTAGGATCCTGCAGGTTTCATTCTCACTCCCTCCACCCAGCTCTCCCTCTCCGTCTCGCACCAACTCTCTTCATCTCTTCCATTCTCTTCTTCTGTGTTTCCCTCCTATTTTTCCCCCATGGTGGCCACATTTCAGAAAAAATATCCCTGTTTCCATGGCGACCTTTTATCTTATCATCAACCAGCAACTTCAGTTTGAGGCACTCAAGGATAGCGGGTGAGGATTCTGAAGGCATTTTATTAAACTTCTTGTTTGTGAAGTTTAAAATCACTCAGTCCAAATAAAAGGGTTGAAATCAGACCCCGTTTAGGTGACCTTAAAACAGAAAAAAAACGTTAACGTCATATAAAACCATGTCTTGTGGTAATCCAGCCTGTTTCACATTGGACCAGTCCTCACGCGTTCATGGACTCTCACCATCACCAGTATCCGTTGCTATTTTTAGATGTGGATGGAAGAAAATTTGATGTTCACTCCTGTTATAATTGATGTGTACGAGGTAGGATGGAGGGAGGTTTTTTACCTTGACTGGGAGACAATTGGCCTCCCCTCAGAGGGAGGGGCGGTACTCTTGTGAGCTCATTAACCAAAATGGCCGTCATCAATCTCCTCTCTCACACTCCCAAGGTCGCTGCTGTCATCTATAAAGGGAGCTGAGGTCAAAGTTCAACTTATTCTTTAACCCTGCTTATTACACAGTGGCTGCACTCTCCTCCGCTCATGCTAAATTTAAAGCACGTACCCCAGTGGCTTCAGCCCCTGCCACCCTCTTGAGGACTGCAAGGTTTTTGCTAAAAAAAAACAACCTATATTTTCTGAAAGTCTTGGCCCGCTCTAGTGATTTCTGCTCCTCTGTCTGGCTTGAGACACATAAAAGTGAGTCACTCACTCTGACCTTTGAGAGGGAAGCGTGTTTTAAAAAGCGGTGGATCAAATGTTTTTTTATTATTAATTACATTAGATTACTACATTAGCTACTACCAGCATGTATCTCCCACCAAACTGTTGGTGGTTAAGTTGCATTATGGGCCATGTAAGCGCCAGGTTTGGACAAACTGATATTTTTCTCTTGATGATGGCAGTAGATGAAAAGTTAACAGTTCCAAAAGACATTTCATGATTTATTTATTGATTTCATTGTAGAGACCAGGCTATATTTTAACCGTATCGGCTAAAATAAAGCCAATTACGAATACTGATCCTTTCTTTACTGTAGTCTGCTGTGTCGTGTCCACCTCAGCCTGCTAGTGTTGCAAACCTGCTGTGAATGAGAGTGATAATGTGAAAAAAAACGCTCCAACGCTGACAAATCACTTCTGATTTTTAGTCAGCACTGGTTAAAATGGTGCCATTAAACAGGACAATATTAAATGTGTCTGTTGTCAAATTACAGTGCTCTCTGCATGCTGATGTGCAGCCAAAGATCATTTGTGATCTCTGTTACACCACTGTACAATTGCAATGTACTTCCCACTTATTTTATTACATTATGATGCTATAATTGTTGTATGGCCTGGCTGAACACATACGGCCGGTCATGACTTTGCTATGCTGGAGAACACGCTGCTAGCAGGATCTGTTGGAGCTAATGACTTACGTGGTATCTCATTAGATCACAGACACGTGTAATCGCCAGTACCCAATACCGCATTATGGGCAAAATCTGAGGAATTTCCTAAATGGTATCAGTATTGGAACAACTCTAGTTCCTGCAGCAGCAACAGAGTGATACCTCTTCTCTTGTAAGACAATCAGCTAATTGTTTCAGGAGATGAATTATCCTGTTAAACCTGCATTCATATCATGGCTCAAGCTCGTGAAAAATAGGCTCTGCCAAATTCAGCTATTTCAGTGTGTGATATTTAACCAACATCAGATCAGACTTGTGTTTTGGTCCAAAATACCTTACTATGACATACCTACTGAAAAGCAAAAATGCCCACCTTATGGTGGCATCAAAGTCTACGACGGAGTGTTAGGGCCAGACTAAGAGAAATTACGAGAATAAAGTCATAATATTAAGTCTTCATTATGTCTAAAGATAAAGGTCGTAAAATTACGAGAATAAAGTCCGCAATATTGACGGAGTAGGTCATTAACTATTAGGTTTTACGAAAAAAAATCATAATAGTTGCAAGATAAAGTCGTATATTGGAGTAGCAAGTCATAATATTAGAGAATAGGAAAGTTCCCGTATATTGGAGAATAAAGTCGAATTTGCGAGAATAAAGTCTAATATTCACGAGGAAACAAGTCATAATATACGAGAATAAAGTCGTAATATTAAGAATAAAGTCATAATTTGCGAGAATAAAGTATAATTAACGAGAAAGTCCATAATATTGCGAGAATAAAGTCATAATAATTACGAGAAAAGTCATAATATTACAGAAATAGTATAATTACTAGAATAAAGGTGATGTTAATTTTATGAGAACTCTTACAGGAAAAGAGCATCTTCCCCTGCGTTAAAATGAGGAAGTGTTGAGCATCTTGTGAAGGTTATAGCTTATGATATCGGTTTCACAAATAATTAAATAACTTAAATCTTTGGCACATCAGCATCAAATTATATTATCAGTATTCAGGATTTGGAAAACAATTGTGAAACGACTGTGTCTATTTCGAAAGAACCACACGCACATTGGAAGAAATTGCTTTTTTGTCACATATTCTTTTTAATTTAGACTTTATTATCGTAACATTAGACTTTTTCCTCGTAATATTGCGACTTTTATTTTGTATTATTACGCTTTATTCTGGTATATTATGACTTTATTCTTGTAATATACCACTTTATGTCCTTCCCCCGTTAATTTAAATCCCTTAGCATGGCACTAATACTCCGTCGTAAAAGTGGCATTCATCTAATATTATTTTCTATATAAAACACAAAAAACGATTCCCACTCATCGGTGATCAATATCAAAATCACAAATAAATAATTCCATATGATTTTTTTACCATATCGAGTCCTTAATTTGATGCGTAGTACACAACAGATTGCTGGTGTGTGTTTTTCCCCAGCTTGCCAGTCACAGAGTATAGCACCAGCCTGGCTGATGAGAGGTACCCAACATGAGGCTCTGGTGTTTGAAGGCATGCAGCATGGCGGAGGCACTCATGATTGTTGCCTGAACTTAGAGGTCCGCATGATCTAAGGTGCTCGAAGATGAGGTGAGAGGACACGCGAGAGTGAGACGAGAGGAAGAGGATGGAGAGATGAGGATGAGCTCTCTATTGCTAATTTTCCCTCCCAGCCACACATGAAAAAGCATCACACCCCATCATGTACGTCTCCTCCTGATTTTAATTGTAGTGGACCCCGCGCTTCTATTGATTTTCAGACACTTGTTTAGTCCCCCCCACTCCCTTCACCAATTCTTTTCAGGTAAGGGGGAAAAGAGGGGAAGGCAGCAACAGGCATGTTTGGGGTTATGGTTTGAGGAAATGTACATCTTAGTAACTTCAGTCCTTTATTTCCTCCGCTCCTTGAGTTTACAAACAGCTGAGTTTCCTGGCTAAAAAGGTTGGGAGTGCACATGCTGTATATAATGGTTGTGGAGTGTGTGTGTGTGTGGTGTTTGTTGTGGGCCTTCAGTGTGGTGTTGTAGTTGGAAAAGTGAATATAAGCAAGTATACAAAAGAGTCTCCTCTGTCCTGCTCTTGACCTTGCCTTTTATCATGGAAAACCGGCGAATGATTACGTCTGCTGCCCAAATCCAGTGTGCAAGCCACAACTGTCAACGTCTAAGGTGGAAAATACGAAAAATCCATAACTCTAAATGTTAGTAATGGGGAATATCTTACGGTAGTTCATCTGCGGTAAAGCTGTACTTAAAAACATGGCGTACACACACCATAACCAACACAACTCTTTTCTCCTCCTTCAGTTTCATGTGACACAAATACAACAAACAGACCGAATGCATCTTTTTCTATCAGTCCTTTACATTTGCAAACAAAGGTGTTAATGCAACCCCCTTGGCTCTCTGTGTACAGTAGTATGTGGCTGCGTGAATTAGACAGATACGCGGGTCTGGGTACCCCGTACCATGTACGCTTCTCTAGGGTCTTTCCCTGAGGCTCTCCCTCCTCCTCCTTATCAAACATCATCTCCCCGCTCAGCTCAGCTCCGGCTCCCAGCAGCTCCGACGCAAAAACCCATATAGGAAAGGAGGCTGCTATGACTAAATACAGCGGCTTCCCCTGTGAGAAACTTGTTTGTGTGCGATGCGTGTTTGCAATCAAAACGAGTTGAAGCTTGTTAAAATAGTATTGATTAATGTGAGGGTCTGCCCTGGGTTTCTACAGCGAGTAGAGGAGTAGTGTAGGCCATCTGCTTGCTCCACATTCACTTGGCAGCATTCTCCAGCCCCTTCGCGGTGCAAGCAGGATAAGCATAGCCATAATTACAGCTTGATGAATAATCAAAATCAGAAATTGATCACCTCTAGATGCCTCGACAATAGACCTCCCACTAATAAAAGCTAAATTGACCGGGAGCTCCAGAATATTCCTCTGAGAAATCAATCTGCCAATATTTACAGTAAATATACTCTGAGTGGGCTGCTGCGCCTTCCCAACACAATGACAACACTTGTATTACCAGTCAGAAGTGGCAAGTTCTTCCATAAGCTGCTAACGTGCGATTGGCAAAGCATTGTGTTGTTATGCAGGACAGGAGCCCAGGC